GACTCCGGCTGACAGATTATATAACAGTGATATGATTTTACCTGAGCACTTGCATTTTTACTTTGAGGTTTTGGCATAGCATATTCTTGAGCATTGGTGTGTGTATATATATATATATATATATATATATATATATATCTATTTTCTGGGAAGTATACAGGTTTTACGGCGAGGGGTTAGAACTTATTTATTAAATGGTTTTCGAAAAGCTTTGTTTTTGCCCACTCACGCTTTTGTTTTGCGCCCCTCCAGGGTCTAGTTGGCTAGCACGTTTGGTGGTTTCCCTGAGGATTTTCCCGGCATATCTGACAGACAATCACCAGCGTAAGACCACCTTCGGGTGTACTTTTGTTGCGTCATTTTCTCCCGGACTGCTTTAGGCTTCATGCTCTGAACTTAACGTCACACTTACGCTTGCACTTGGTATTACTTTATGTAAAACCAGTTTTTATTTATTCGTACAATTTCCATTATTATTTTATTAGCTTCCGCACTGTGCACATGGTTACGTCACTTCCACATGACGGCCAGCATGCCCTGATCTAGGTCGGGGTGTGTCAGATTCTATAAAAATGGCCAAAGGCGGGTTGAACCGATTATGCAAAAATGATTGAGGACTGGTTGAATTGATTCTAGTAATAAGGCATACAAACTGATTCTACATATAATTTCAAAAAATGATTCTGCACATGATGGATTGAGCTTGTGGCACATATTAATATTGTTAAAGTTGTGAGGGCTGAATTCTATTAACAGCCCTAAAGCCTTAGGGATATGGTTGGTATTTTAAAACTTTCTTTCCAAGTTTTTGGGCGGGGCATTAGTTGTCTATGCCTTTGTCTCTCCTTCACATGTTTAAGAACTAATGGAGTTCCTTGAAATATAATGAAAGTTTTTGTCTCTTTATATAAAGCTTCCAAAAGTTTAGTATGAAACAAAAAAAAAAAAAAAAAAAAAAAAAAAAAACTACACCTTTCTTTCTCTCCCATCCTACCTCACCTTTGCCCCTCTCTCTTCATGCCTCACCATCATCTCTCTCTCCTCTTTCACCCATCACTATCATCTTTCTTCTCTTTCACCCATCACTATCATCTTTCTTCTCTTTCACCCATCACCATCATTTCTCCCTATTCTCTCTCTCATGTCACTCATTCCTCCCCTCTTTTTTTTGTTAGGTATATAATTTAAAATTTAATCATATTTTTTAACAAATAATAATATGAATTATTTATTACATGTCAAAATTGAACAAAATTATTATCAAAATTTTTTTAATACACTAGTATCACTATTTCTAGAAATAGTGATTACTTTCTAGGGTGACACACCCCGACCCAAAATGTCCACCTGGACATCTGAATCGCGATGTGATGGCCGACACCTAGAAGGTGACGAAGCCATAAAGTGTAGTGATGTGGAAAGAGTGAATAAATTAAAACCTAAAAGTGAAAATTTTAAGTGCGCATGTCAGCGAGATTAAATCCATATCACACAAGTGATGTCAGAACATAAGTAAATTGCAATGAAAGATAAAGTTAGAACGTTTATACCAAAAGGAGGGATCCTCCTATTGTTGGAGTTATGCCCTAATAGTCAATCTTTGGAAGAAACCTTTCAGGACAATGTCTGTATGTAGGTGCTCTAATACAGCAAAAGACAAAGTCACTTATTAGGACTATCTCAATGAACAATATACGTCCAAAATTAGTGAGTCCATGGACAATGGATCGATGGAAGAAGTAATCTAAAGATGTTAGATTACAGAGACCTTCTTCACATAACCATAATGTCCAAAAAGGTTCATAGTCATATGATTGTTAGAGGGACACTGACAATCCAAATAGACTAGTACGTATTGTGTCTGCTTCAAATGGGAAGGATGGAAAGTCTCAAGCCATTCGTGTAGTGACACTAAGACAAGTACGTAGGTGTTCATTAAGGGAACGAGTTCACTGAATACAATCAAACGAAAGTTCTTGCATGGAGGTCTACTCACATATCAAGCAAGTAACTCTACTGGTTGGAATAATGCAAGTGATCATTTGACCTGAGACATCATAGTTGTCTTGGGGATACGTTGCTGATCATTTGATAATGTGACGTGACCACATCTCATCTTGGATGTGTTCTATGCATTGTTGGGGTTAGTGATTTATTCTCAGGGGCATGTGAATGATCAACAAGGGATCTTTAATCCTCGTTAAGAGAGGAAGAATTCTCTAAGATAGGATTCGAGAATCTTCGGCCGAAGTATCGAGCGTAATGATGGAAGGCATTCCTATACGACTCAATTGAATCATATAACTTGGAATAATCACATTAGGGGTTTGACATTTAGCATCCATACCCTAGTAATGCGATTGTGACTATTTTATATGAGATGACTTAAAACAATAATCTTTGCCCTTTATATTTGATAGGAGCATATTTATGCTACTTAGTTATGTTATTTCCTTACATTTAGTGAGCTAATTACTACTTATTATAGTGTTTTGAGCTATTTTTGTTTGTTTGTAGGTCCTAATGACAAAATGGGCAAGAAAAGGCAATTTTGAGCCTTTTAGAGCAGTTTTGGGCTTATTTTGGATAGCTTGTATATGGAGCAACAAGGATGGACGAATTTGGAGTCAAAAAAGGTTAGAAACATGCTACAAATCAGAAAAGGAAAGTTCATGACAAAGAAGATAAGGAAAGTGCAAGAAAAGAGGAAACATTATCCAAAACCTTATCCAACCTTATCTTATCCAAACCTTATCCTATCTTATCCTAACCTAATCTTGTTCCACCTTAATCCTAGTTGTAAGTGGACCTAAAAACCTAATTTCTAGAAGCCCTATCTGACCCTAAAAGGGTGCCACACCTTCCCTCTCTTTTATGCCTTCTAGAACACCCAAAATCAGCCATAAAACACTTAGTTTCTAGAAGGCCCAATTTTGGACGAGTATTCTTAAACCTTTTTCTGATTGGATTCTGATTTTATTGGCCCTTTTTCTCTTGGATTTGGATTGTATAAGTCCATATCTGAGATTGATTGGGCTAGGACTTAATTCCCAAACCCTTGCCGCAACTTAGGGGCCCAAAAACACTTGTATCAGCTAGGTTTAACCCTAAATCTGATTGCTAGGGTTTCGGCCATGCTATATATATCTACCTATTATTGTGCTACACCCTCTTAGACACCCTAGGCAGCCATTCATCCTTCAATTCATTTATCCATTCACATCAGCCACCATTCATTCAGAAAATACACTTTGTGCCGCAAGTCCTAGGGAGAAGAAGGAGTGACGTGGCTTCCATAGGAGAAAGACCATCTTGTGCCGCAAGAAATCTACATCCATTGGAGACTTTCAGAGTTCTTTCTTCGCTTGTTTCGTTTCCATGTTTATTTTAATTTGCTTTTCAATTGTTATGAACATGTGTAACTAAGTTTTTCTTAGTTAAGGGTGAATTCGAAACCATGGGCATATGTTTTATATGAATTGATTTCCTCCAGATTTTGTTTCTTGAATTGTGGATGTGATTTACTTAATTGATTTATTAAGAACTTGTTCTTGTGTGTTGATTAAGGATGCATACTTAGTTTTCATACATGAATTTGATGCTAGGATATACGGAAATTTCACCTAATCATTATGACCTTATATTCATAAGTAGTGGAAATCACTAGTCATGATTGTATTAAGTAAATTCGAGGCAAGAGTATCATGCAATTCATAGTTACGAATGCCTAGTCAATGCTTAGGGTTTTCAAAAAGCTTAATGATCTTTGATTTTATCTCTATTATGCAGTTCATGTAGGGAATTTGATAAGAATAATTTGATTGTCGATGCGTATTCCATCCAATTCAATGAAACTAGGAAAATCTGAAAGTTAATTTGTGCTTTTCACAATTAATTTGGGGCATTGTGATTCATGGTTTAAAAGGGGTGAAATTTGGAAATCAATTTATGTTACATATGTGCATGTGTGGAGAAGGACCCCCTAACTAGCCTTTTTCCCATTCAATTCACCTAGTATAGTGCCTAATCTGTTTAATTTACAATCTGTCCATTTTAATTAATTTCGTCCAAATCAAGTCTCCATTTTATTAAGTGTGTTAGATTAGTTAGAAAAGTGTTTGAATCTGTCCAAATTAGTGTTTTGAGTCTAAGTTAGTTAAATTTCGTCCAAATCACCCTTTATAGTCTAGTTTGAGTCTATTTGAGTGTTTTGGGCTGTTTTGAGTCTTTTTAAGTTGTTTTGAGTCATATAGGTCTAGGTAAGTGTTTTAAAGTTTAATTTTGTGTTTTTAAGTTAGTTTAGAGTAGATTAGCATCCCTAGTTAATCCCCGGTTAGAACGATCTCTACTTGCATATATACTACAATTGTCACAAATAGGGTTTAATTTGTGTGTCAACATAATTTTCACATCAATATTAAAGTAGATTACTTTAACATGTGAAATGTCCGTAAAATATGATCATATGATTGGTTTTAGGGCACATTTCCCACAATCTCCCACTTGCACTAGAGCCAATTAGCTTGGTCATCATTGATGATACCTCTTCTGTAGTTATTTCAAAAATGGCTGAGTTGTAGGCCTAGACAATGGATATTTATATGTTATCCATATATAAATCTAAGGTGAAAACAGAAAACTAATAAAAAATATATACAGGTTCACGTCCTATAACTTTTCACAACCATTTGCAAAGCATATCGTAGTCAAGCAAACATGCCTTCATTCTAACCAATAAAATATAACAAAAATAGAACACTGAATGTCAAATACTCATGTAGTCATGTGCTAATTCCCTTGACAATACAATATGACTCTCATGCAGAAAGCTTAATATATATGCCGGTGTGTCTCTGTATTTCTCAATCTGAAAAATAATCTGTATTTATCTTATTATGAATCAGTTTACAGATTTATAGTCATGCACTGAAGAGAAGAGTCAAAGATCTTATAAAAGAGTCAAATGTCGTGTAACATTTAATAATCTAATAAATGTCACATATATAGAATGAACTCATAAGATTTATAACTAGTCTGATTTGTCTGTTAGTTCTAAATTGTATCATAGATCAATCATACACTCAAGATCAAATTTTACAATATGAGATATAGAAGTCTGAACAGCTTACCTTCCAATGAAACACATTTCATAACCCGTCATACTTGTCGCATTGCATTTTTGCACATAGTATTTAAGGATAAGTTGCCAGAAATATCAGTGTCACTCCCATTAAAATACTTCAATAACCACAAAATGGCAGAACGGTTTATCATTCCTGCTGAATCATGAATGACGAGATCCCCATTTTTGCTCTCAACTTTTTCTGAAAACTCAGCCAAGCTTTCAAATAGCATGGAGCCATTAGATACGGCCCATTTAGCCATAACAGCAGAAGCAAAATCCTGAAAGACAATGTTAGGTAATAGCATGAGAGCCCCAACAAGCTCAGGCGTGGGTGGACAGCAACTACAGAGTGTAAGAAGACCTTCAACAGCAATGGCACTCGCATTTGCATCTAATTTCTCTAACCAGAAAAACTTTGAAAGTAGTCCCTGCACTTGCACCGTCGAAACCGCTAGCTCTGATCTAATCAAGCCCCAGAATTTATGTTGTTCCACACAACCCCAATTAAGGGAATTCTTCATTAAGCGGAAAACTGTTTCAGTATTCTCACCAAAAATGGAAAATCTTTTCAAGCCAATCTCAATTTGTATATTAACAAGATCAGCATGATCTAATTGACCAACAAGTAGCTTGACGATGCCTTCCTCACCAATGGACATATCAGAAAGATGACAATAGACACTGGAAAACAAGAATTTTAATCGCTTCCTCTCCCACACAGAACAAGTCATTATGTCAGAAAAAAGGAGCTGCGGCAGAGAATTTTCAGTATCCTTGAATAAGGCAGTTCTTGAACACACAAGGAAGCATTTGTAGGCAGCAAAGGCACCATCGACTAACATTGCAACTAACTTCTTTTCTGCTTTAGAAATAGACTCAATAGTTTCATATGAGTTTTCAGTTCTACCATGCAAAAAAGAAAAGTACCCATTGACATGATATAGCAGCAGACGGATGCCTGAATCACTTGGAGTAATAGAATTAACGTCAACCACGGCATCTCCAAAAAGACCCACCATGCGTGCCTCATAAGCTAGTCTTGATGCATACAATAATAACCTTGCTCCAACTGGAAAACCATTCTTTAACCAGAATAGAAGCATAGCTTGCATATTTTGATGCTGTGAAAGAACAAACATACGGATAATTAAGGATGTAGCAGACCCAACATCATCACCGTTTTCAGGACTATCTGGATGAAAATCGAGAGGAGAAAATAATTTGGACTCACTCAATTCATACAACTTTTTTATTTTAGAAGATAAAACATCCGGGAGAATGAAGCCACTCTCTGGTCCTTGGCCATCAAAACTCACAAATAAAAGTAACAGTTCTTCCAAAGTACAAAGAGCCATTGGATTTGAATTTTTAATTGCTTCTCCAAGATTATGAATCAAATTGTCTATATCAAGAACTTGACCTTCCCTGTCCACTACTAATGGACTATGGGAAGGAGCTGCATCATCTGATATCATAACTTTAGGTTCAGCTGATTTGATACTAAACCTGTCTCCTTGGCTACATTTTGGTTGCCATTCTGTTAATGGTAATGGAGTTTCCATACATGAAGAGTTCGAACTCACAAAATCAGCAGGATGGCAAGCTTGTTGCAACTCTTTAGAAATTTCAAATTTCCTACCTGACAAAAACCTACCAAGCCTCTCTTTCAATATAGGAGACAATGCATCACAAGAGGTCAAGACATCGAGTGAACAAATCACTCCTCTCTTAACAAGTACACTAAAAGAAGATGACACACCTTTAGCTAAGATATGGTAATGTTCCACGTCATAGTTGTCCATAAGAAGGAACAAAAATTCAAGAATAGTATGAGTTACATCAATGTATCTGGGTATAGAATAGACCATTAATAACATTGCCGGTTCAATATCCATAATATTGTCTACTCTTTCCTCGAAAAAGAGCCAATCATAAAGTAGAGCTAGTTTCACATTCGCTTCAACATAATTCTTCGTGCAAGATTTGAAAAGCCAACCCATAACAGCCCATCTTGGAATGACATCTGACTGAATGATTTCATTGGTCGGGTGGTAAGCACAACATATAAAGCGAACAATGTCAATTATGAGAGTCTCTCTGTTTGGTTCAAATAGAAACTTCTTGGAAAACCATGCCTGATGACGCTTCTGGTTTCCCAACTTCACATGAGTGAGCAAAAATCGTAAATGGGCCTCCATTTCTGGAGTAATCCTAAGTAACATATACTCGCTTGGAGTCCTTGTGTTATAGAGTTGTGGAATACCTGAAAATCCCTGAGCCTTAAATTCGCCGCGATTCAATACCAAATCCTTCCATATTGTTCTAAACTTGGGTAAATGAACCAAATCTTGTAGAAGTCGAACAAGATCCCTGCCAATCTTCAAACACAAAGGAAACTTCTCCTTAAAAACTTTAATGCAAAAATCGACCTCCAATTGCTTTAATGCCTCTAATTTTGGATTGCTTAACAACCTACAGTGATCAGCTAATAACCGAAGATATGTATACAATCCACTAGTCAAAATCATCGGTTCTACTTCTAACAAACAATCCCATTTGGTCATAAAAATGCTCACCATCTCAAAGCAAAGCCACAGATTTCCATCACTATAATCCCCTCCAATAATTTGCCTCAACAAGCAAACCAACAAACCATCAACACCTACTGCTAGAACATTGATCAACTCCTTAGTAACCCAAATTAATTGAGACTTCACCGGTTCAAGAAGTTTCACATACAGTTCATTCACAACCTTGACTAGCAAGCTAACAAACCAGAAATACCCACCAGTGACAATAGCATGTAAGTGCTTCATATGTGTTTTTCCAACATGGCTTTCACATAATACACCATAAAGGATCGCTTTGTTGAGCAACAAGTATTCTTGTGGGTTTGGAATTGTTAATGAAAAAGGGGGCCTCAGTTTTGGTTCAAGAAGTTCAAAGGCTTGTCTCAGAGAGAGCTCTATTGGGTTTTCAGCTTCATGGGAAGAGGTTTGAATTAGTTTCATTTCCACGTCTGGTTTATATAGAACAGCTGTAATGACCCTCTGTGTGTAATTGGGGAATAATGGTAGTAGAATTGAGTTAAGAGACTCAGAGGTTACTGAAATTTAACTTAGCAAATCATATTTAATGGAGACATAGAAATAGCTGAGGGGAGCACCTCATAGCAGATCTTCTGTATATTTCAATAACAAAAAGTTGGGCACTGGTTAGCGGCTTCTTGGATCACGCCACTGCTCATAGTAGCTCATCGAGCACACCTGCATGAGTAGAATAAAAACAATCTAAGAAATGTATACATAAGAGCTATCGCAGAGAACCCCAACACTCTGTATAGTCAGGTAGTAAATCAAGGAGCCATATCCAATGCAAGAGAGCATTGTACCAGCTTCTTTTTCTTTTGGATAAAAAGAAACTCGCAACAGAACTACTAGTACAATACATTGAGAGACTCCAGACTGAAAAAAGAATAATCCCTAAATTATGGAGATACCAAAGTGCATAAAGTAAGCCCAAAATCCAACTCTCCCCACACATTATCCACCCACCCTCTAACATCGTAAAAAGTCCTATTTCTTTCCCATCTCAACCGATCATCTTCATTACGATCTCTCTAATAGATATGGGATTCACATACCCACCTAAATTAGAGAGATTGTATACAACACGAGCAGTAGAGATGGTAATTATAGAGCAACGGTCAATTTTGACTGAAACTATTTTTCTTAGAAACTATATTTTAGGCATGTGGGTTATGCACAACCTCATTCACGTAATGTTTTCTTTTTCCTTTTTTTTTTGTCTAAGAATTTTCTTTTTATTAAAAGGCAACCTCATTGATGTAATAATCTTACTATTAAATGTTCAGAATCCTACATTAATATTAGTAAAATACAAATATGAATATAGGTATGAAGGGTTTTCTGACATTTAGTATGAACGGTATAATAACATCGGCAAGTAAACGAAATTGTTTCGTTAAACCTATAACATTTAGCCCTTCATGACTAGAGATTAAGCTGGATACAGCAAGTGATTATGCAATAGAGCAATACCATATTCAGACGTTTTAACAAACACTTGGTGTGCAACGCTGCCAAGAAACCAAAACCAATCGGGAAAAACGGCCAGCGCCTTCTTAACTGGCAAAGGCATACACAACCAAGAATTTCAATTTTAAGGAGCCTATGAAAACGATTGGTGGATAGCAGACAATAGGAAACATCAACTCTACAGATATACGTATACATATATGTGTCAGTGTGTGTGTATATATATATATATGTATGTATATGTGTATGTATGTATGTATGTATGTACATATTCACGAAAGAAGAACACTTACATACACGACTATACGATATATCGGGGGAGCTCGACGCGAACTTGATTACTTGGCCGCTGTGACTGAGAAGAAAAGGCGCGGAAGGAAGAGAAGGTCGGGAAAACGGTGACGAAGCAAGCGTGGCGACATAGGTGCGAGTAACCCAAGTATCGCGAAAGGGTAATGCTACGGCACAAATTTAATAAACAAAACACATAAAAATTGATGATTGAATTATATTTGAGTGTTAATTCATGCCCTTATTTCTTATTGTTACATATTATTGAATTTGCAAATTTAATCTACTTAACATTACTCATTGTAAAATCATCTGCATTATTGAGAATGCGCTGCTAAGATCATCTCCAATCATTAGAGATAAAAGTTTAAAATTTTAAATTAGAAAAGTTTAAGTTATAACCCAGAAATTGCTTTTTTTTTCCTTAAATAGTTATGGCCTAAAATTTTAGGAAAACTAATAAAAGGGCTTTAAAACTTTTAATTTTAATCAAAAGTCATCTAATAACTTTATATTTAATAATAAGAACAAGAAGAAAAAAAAAAAAAAAAAAAAAAAACGAACAAACAAACAAAAGAATCTTATCAAACGCGCATGTAGTCTCCTTTGCCGCTGCATCTTTCGACTACTTTTTCTAGTACTCATCAATTGGAGTCCAAAAATTGCCTTGCGAAGCAACTCCAACCTTGCAGCTCCAATATCTACAAAGCACACACCTCTATATATTTGTACTATATATACATAAACACCCACTACATATTATATATTATAGACATATGAAGCACTGAAGAGTACCTTGTGCAACTTTATTTACCAAGCCACTACCTTTTATACACACAATTTTGATTTACATGATGCACCGATTAGACGAATGCCATGTTCCTAGCAATTTTTATCCACGAAACTACTGGCGTCGTGAGATGCTTTAGAAATTGTATGGTAATCAAAAGTGTAATAAGTTTCATAAATAGTGTAATATCTACTGGCGCCGTGAGATGCTTTAGCAATTTTTATCCACGAAACTACTGGCGCCGTGAGATGCCATTAAGTTTCATAAATAGTGTATTACTGTTAAGTTTCATAAAAAGTGTAATAAGTTTCATAAACAATGTAGTAGTACTATTAAGTTTCATAAACAATTTGTGTGAGGACGCGCGTATCAAAAAAAAATTTAATATTAAAATTATGTCCTTTTTAAAATTTAATTTCTTTTGTGCTTTTTATTAAAATTTAAGAGTTTTTCATTAAATTTAAGTCTTTTTCTTTTAACAAAGTTATGGCATAGTTTTTTTTTTTAAAATATACTTAACTCAAGCCCTTTTCATGAAAGTTCCCTAAAATTTTAGCCTAATTTATTTATTTTGGTAACCTTTTTAAAAAAAAATAAATTTATATAAATTATACTAATTTATTTTTATGAACATTTTAACATAAAAATATTTGAATTTTGATAATTAATTAAAAATAATACAAATCCATAGGTATTTATAAAATTATAAGTGAAATTTGATTTAGATAATTATTTAGGCATTAGATTTAATTTTGGTCCGTTAAATCCCTTTTTTTTTTTTTTGTAACTGTTAGATTTAATCTCAATTGATTACAGTCGTTGATTTCAAAAAGGGATCCTTGGATTCCTTCCTCCTAATCCACCAATTCAGGTAATTCGTGCCATTGAAATTTGATCCAATGACTGAAGTTATTATAACTTTTAAAGTGGGCCTCTGTTTGTAACTGTTGGATCAAATTTCAATGTCACGGATTCCCTGATTTAATGGATTAGGAGGAAGGGATCCAGAGAGTATCTCTTTCCGTTGATTTAAAAGTAAAAAACAAACAAAGGTTTGAAATATGACATATTGTTAGGTCCAAAATAATTTAAGCCCAGCTTAATTTTTGGGGTGAATTTAGCCCAAAGATATATTTTCTCCCAATGCTTATTTTAGCCCAATGGTTGGTAGGAGTGGGTTACATTCTAATTGGTTTGGTTCAAAGTTTTTCTATGTTTGTTTGGTTTAGTTGTTTTCCGGTTCGGTTTCGGTTTTATTTTTTATTTTTAATTTTTTAGTTTTTATTTTTTTTTAAACAGTACAGTCTGGTCACATGGATCCTTTAAATCTTATGTCTATAAGTTCATGTCAAAACCTACATGTTTCATATAGAAAACCACAATTAAGCATTAGTACCTAACAACTGCAAGACTGCAATAGTAGATGGAAGCATAATACTCTGATTACAACAAATCTTCTGTTCATAATGGTTTACATGGAAATGGATCCTCTCCAGATTCCTTCCATTAAGCCTCTTTATCAAGCAATCCGGACTTTTAAAATTTGATCTAACGACTACAAACAAACATCCACTTCAAAAGTTATAATAACATTAGCCGTTGGATCAATTTCAAAGGTCCGGATTATTTGATGAGGAGGATTAGATGGATGGGATCTGGAGAGGATCCGTTTCCTGTTTACATCCTTTGGTTCTAGAGAAATTCCTTCAATAATTATGACAAAAAAGAAACTAAGGATATTATCGTTGCTTACCTGCTAAGTTACTGTACTGACTTTACCATGAGAGCCTTGTAAAAGGACTCCGTGTAGTAGTTAGTGACCAATGATGATTATTGTAGTTAGTGACCAATTATGATTATTGTGGACCTTGAGTTTTTGTAAATCTACATATGATTTTCATAATTAATAATACACACACACACACACACACACACTAGTTTAGTTCGGTTCGGTTCGGTTCGATTTTCAAACCATAGAAATCGAAACCGAACCAACCAATTTCAGTTCAGTTCGATTTGTTTTTCAGTTCAATTTTTTTTTCTTCGATTTGGTATTCAATTCAGTTTCTTTCGATTTTTTATTTTTGATTTTTTGAACCACCTCTACTGGTTGGAGATGGTTAGGGGGAGGGGGGAAGGGGGAGGTTTAAAGCTTATATTTTAAGTTTTATTCTATGGATTGTAGATGGTCTAAGGTGCGGTCTTCTCACGATCTTGTTGGATCAAATTGAATGGTTGACAATAAAACTCCCCCAATTATTTTTTTAAGAATTTTTTTAATTAATAGTTTTCTACTTATTCTAGAGAGACTATCTACTTGAATTATATTTTGTAAACCATGTGATGTAGCAGTTGATGGTTAGACTCTTTTTTTAGATCATTAAAAAAAGAATCCAACTATCAATTATCACATCATGTGGTCTAAAAAATATGACTTTCCTAGAATTTTCCCTGATAAAATTGATAAATTGGGTCTAATAGTCTTGGCCAAAAAACACCAATAAAAAAGTCAAGTGCCAAAAATATGTGGCACATAAATGGATCCCACAAGTTTTTTTTTAAGATTTTTAATTTTTATATATTTTATCATAAATGGTCCCTGAAATTAACCCACACCATTAGGATGATCCCTAAAATTGAAAATCGATCAATGTAGTCCTAAAACATATGTCTTAAATCAATGTGGTCATTCCGTTATAATTCTGTCAAATATTTTGTTACAAGTCTAACTAAATAAATTAGAAATAGGTTTAATAATTTAATAATTAATTAAAAAAGTTGTCAACCCAGAAACTCGGCTCCGCAGTCACCTCTTATCCCAACCCATACTCCTCTGCCTCCATCTATGGTAGCCTATGCATCTCTTCTTTGAAAAAAAAATTCTCAAGACACCCATTTTGACACCTTTTGACGACCTTCATCGAATTGGACTAGGATCGAGATCACCTTTTATAGGGCGCTCCTTGGATCTTGGTGATGCGAAGAACGACGAGCTCTGCCTTAAGATAATCTCGTTGTGCAAAAAGATGTTTTGACAATGATGTGATAAAAGATAGCACTCAAATTAAACCCTCTTTTTGACAATTGTAGTATAGATATAAGTAGGGATCGTTCTAGGCCGGGGATTAGGAGCGATTGCTAATCTAATGAAAACTGACTCAAAGATACAAAAATATGCTTCAAAACACTTAAACAAACTCAAAAGACTCTTAACTAAACTTGTATGACTCAAAACAAACTTCAAAGACTCAAAACAATAAAAAAGACTCAATTTAGACTCTAGGACTCAATTTGGACGAAAATACAATTAGTTTTGACTCAAAAGACTCAAAAACACACTTTTGGACAGATTTGGAACAAGTAAGAAGAGGGGATTTGATTTTGGACGAATTTAAAAGAAAAATAAGTGAATTAAAAACTTAAAACAGATTTTGACGAAATTAAGAAAAACCAATGGATGATGAAATAGCCAAGGGATACTTCTCCACACATGATACATTCAAACATAAATTGATTTCCAGTTGCTTTTCCGATAAACCATGAACCTCAACACCCCAGATTAACCGTGACATCACTAATTAACCCTTATATTTCCCTTAAGTTAGTGGATTGGATGACATCATACGACAACCCAAAGCATTCTTCAAAAGTCCCCTACATGACATCATAATAGAGATACAATCAAAGATCATTACGTTCAATGGAAATCATAAGTATTGACAAAGCACTTGTAACTATGACATCATGATACTCATGCTAGGAATTTACTTAACATGATTGTGAAAACAACCTTAACTACCTGTGAAAATAAGTTTGTGATGATTATGTGAAACTCCCTTATATTCTAGCACCAAATTCAAGCATGCAAATTAAGTAGGCATCCCTAATCGACATACAAGAATAAGTTATCCATCAAACGGTTAAGTAAATTGCATTCACAATTTATGAAATCACAACTGGAATTTATCAACTCATATTATAAACATAATCATGGTTTCAAAGCATCCCTAGGCTAAAACGAGTTTAGCCTCTCATGTTCATAACAAAACAAAGGAAAATAGAATTAAACATTGAAAACAAAAGATAGATTACACCTAAAAACATTCCAACACTCCAACTTGAATGCACAAACGCCCAAGGTTTCGTCTTCATTCTCTTCTTCCTTGCAAAGTCACGGCACAAGAGTCTAAGGTGGTTTTGTGGATGATTTTCTGGGTTTTGAATGGATTTAGGAGAGTAGGGTGGTGTGGCAAAGGTTATGGAGGGTGTATGGAGGCTTGGATGAAGGTATGGAAGTAGGAGAATGGTGGAAAGTTTGATGGAAGGCTGCGGCAAAGGTTATGTTTCTGAGTGAATAAAGGCAGGTTGTGTGGAAGGGTGATTAGAGTTCAATAAGGGTGCGGC